TATGTAAGTGGGAATAAAAAAAACTATACCCTTTCTAATCTTGTGAAGTTTGCACATTCCTATTAGGGTGCATGTTCTCCAATTCTTCCTTTTGTCTCTTGTACAAGTTTCCATCCCCTTTAGTGTCCAGTTTAGACAATGCAGCTGCTCGTACCCGCCCCAGATTATTTAAAAAATGTAAATTTGGTTCTAGTATTGGGAAATGTGCTTATAATAAAGAAATCAGCTGACTGAAAGGATTTTTAATTTCATTCCGAACCCAACTGCTCCCACAGTTTGTCCACAACTCGATTCAGATCATAAAATAAAATACTGCTATGATTTTAACAAATTTATTAGAAATGTGATTCACCCATCACACACAACTTAAATATATACAGATAGAATAATTTAACACAGACACAAAATACATGCCATACGGGGATGTGCTCCAGTCAAGAGAAGAAACTCTGGTGAAAATTTTTATTATGAGCCGCTGTAAAGCAATCAGAAAAAACAAAAACAAAGTTAGATGTTTCCTATAACAGCAATGTAATAATAAATAGGCCATTCCACCCCATGCCGCTTAAATATCTTTAAATATTCTCTTTTCTTTAAATTCAATAGTCAAGCAAGCTAATTTTAAAGTGCATGTTTCAAGATACCACAACAAGTTACAAGGCAAATTTGGTAAACCTAAGTATGACCACTTTCACTGCTGGCTGTTCCTAGGTCCAGCAGGTCCAGTAGGCTACTATGACTGAAAAGCTGTTCCTCAGTTAGGTAAGTTAGGTGTACCTGACACTTTGGTTAAATTCAGAGAAGAGTTGAAGTAATCAAGGAACGATTGAAAAGTGCCATGTTAAAAAAATATGTTGCTTTCTTATGTTTTTGTCACAAAGCAAAACATTTAATTTTTTGTTCACAAGATTTGTCTGAGTGATATTTGCTGTAGCATTTGAAAAAGCTACAAGTGTAAGTGGAACAACAGCACATTACAGTTGATAGAGCTAGTGAACCTAAAGCCAACCCGTCACTTGTTTTCAGTAAACTGACTGGCCGAATAAGAACTGAAGTCAGCTTCCAGTTGGTTCCCAAAATAAATGACAGGGTGGCTTTAGCTTCACTGGCTTCACAAGACTAAATCAACCATGTACACCAATCCTGCACTTACACGGAAACAATGAAAAGAAACAAGAAAAATAAACAGCACTTTTTGCTCTCTCCTAGCGAGGATTAGTGAAGGAGGGGTTACTGGGCCTCTCGCTAGCTTTCTCAATTCTGTTCAGTTACGTAAGAATGTTTCAGCTACACCTTAGTCCTAGACCAGATTGTCCTGGTCAATCCTAAATTTGGTAAGCTTATCCTAAGTTTAGCGGCCCTATACTTTGCACTAGAAAAAAAAAAGAATACTTACACAATGATGTTATTGATGGGAATGTGAATTAATTTCACAAAGAATCCAATGAAGCCCATAATGCAGAATCCAACTGCTGTGGCTACAGCAATCTTCTGGAATTCTGGAAATTCAATGCAGTATTGTAACCCATCTGGACACAATTCAAACAAATATTTAATAATATGAGTGAATTCAATAGGTATATACCTCTTCTATCAGGCTTGGTACATTTCTTGACAAGACGGATTGAATCCTTGGCAAACTGCTTGCCTGGCTTAACGAACTTAGTAACTTGATCCATTGCAGATGACAATCTACAACCAGAGACGAATTCGTTCAAATACCAATAATGCCCTCACAGTTAATCCACCAGGAGCATTACATAGGAAGGAATCATGGAAAATAATTTGAATTTCTTAAGTAGATAAAACAGATTTGTTATGGAAGAAATTAGGAATAGCAGATTCGTTTCAATAAAAATTTTGTAAGAAAATGTTGACGAGCTAGACTAAAATGAATCTCATTTTATGAAAATACAATAGTAAAAGTATTCTTGAATATAGTTCTAAAAGAAGAACATAATTTACACATGCAGAATGGAGAGACTATGGAGTTATGGTCTACAGCAAATTCAGAAATAGGTTACAATTGCTGTTATCCCAAAACCCTATTTTTATACTATATTTTAAAGAAACAGACACCCTAAATTTTCTCACCAACGGCAAGGGAAGATCAGAAACAAAATCTGTACTTAAAACATCACTAAGTACTTACATTTCTTCTCTCTTTGCTGAAAGACTAAGAAGACTGGCGTTCCACGTCAATGAGAAGCAGACACCAAATGTAGGGACATACGGCGTCGACGTCGACAAGCGTCAAAAACACTCGGCCACGGCGCACACGTCAGCGTCGTCTGCCACAGTTGCCACTACATTAACAAGGATTTCCTGACAAAAATGAACGGAGCAGGAAAGCGCTACGAAAAAAAGTCTGTTCAAAAAGATATAAAAACCCTGTAAAAACTGAAGAATAAACAAATATGAAATACATTTGTTTCAAAAGTTTTCTCTATCCGTCTGACAACTTTCAGTTTCTCAGAGTGCGGTGCTGGTCAGACTGTGGCAGAGTTCCACATTTCGTTTGTGTTTTGTTTTTGTTGTCTTGTGTTTTGGCGCACCTGTATATGCATTTAAAAGGTTCAAACGAACGATCAGAACAGCTACTGGAGTACGTCCACCTCAAAATCCCTCTTCGGCACTTAATTTTTTTTTATTATCACTAGGCTGGCATTGTCATCAGAATCAACTGATCACTGGATCACTGTTTTGTGCTATCAATTTATTTCTGGAGTTCTATCATGCATTCATATCAATATCTGGTTGAAAAGTTAGACCCAACTTATCTTTGTAGTGCACATGAGTAAAATGCATGCTCCCACCAAGTTAATGATGTTTGTCTGTATTCCTCCTGGATCAGCACTCGCAACAACACATCGCCAATATCGAAATTCTGTTATGGATAGTTACTTTGTTATGATCGGAGTTTGTTGTTACATCTTCCACTTTTGTTCTTTGCATTATTCTCACAAGAATCAAGATGAACCTATCCAGCAATTGACGTCAATCTTACATAAATATGAAGTCAACGTAATTTAAATGTTAAAATGTCCAAAATCCTATCCCATCCAATTCTCGCTGATTAATGTTTGTGAAATCTTCCTGACCGATTGTTGCTCGATGGAACTGCAAAGTCTTTGTGAAGATTTTTGAAAAGCATTTATTTTATCCAATCTTTAACGGTAGCAAGCTATGTGGTTTGTTTTTTTATTTATTAGATTTTAAAAGGTACTTGCGTCTTTGTAAATATATTAATGGCTTTCTTAACTGGAAAGGTAGAGGTAAAAAAACATCAACTGAAACATTGAGAAAGCCTTTTGATCAGATAACCGATACTGATTGTTGAAATTCATTCCCTCACTAGGAGAGCAGCCAATCTTTTTCAATGTCTACTTGAAACAATTGCATGATTTGGAATTCGTTTTAACAGTAAAACCTGAAACAATTTTTTAACATTCGTTTTATTATGTTTGAATCACAGATCAGCCATGTCCTTAAGCTGGCCACCGATATGGTGGAGTGGTCCCCGCGGTCGTGGTCCTGGTTCGCACCGGCCGCGGCCGGGCCCAGCTCAGAGCGACGCCAGTCTGAACCGTCGGCTGGCCGGGAGCAGACTCGCTCGGCTCGCTGCTGCGGAGTCGGCTCGTCGGCTCGTCGGCTCGGTCAGCATCCCAGCCTCAGCACCGCGAACGAGTGCGGACACTGGGAAACTTGTGTAGTATCGCCACTCAGAGGTGAGTCGTGAAGGGTAATGAAATATGGGGCCGTTGGGCCGCATTGCGCAGCTCGCCGGGCCGGAGCCTGACCGGCCCCTGATCCCGATAACTTGATGTCTGTGTCCCCTAGCGTGTCTGGTGTGACCGATGATGATTGCGGTTATCGCTTTGCTGGATAAACAGGCGGTCTTGCTCTAAAATAAAAAGGGGGGGGGGGGAGATAAATACTGGGAGCCAGTATATTTCAAATTATTCGAGCCGAAGAACAGCTCGTCAATAAGTTTCAAGGTGTCTTGTCAATGTGCAAACGATGCCTGCCGAAATAACAATAGGGGAGGGAAGTGGGCTGGGGTAGGTGCGCAGAGGCCACCGTGATCCCCGATTACTCCACCCTCCTGACCCCATGCCCTGAGGCTTGACGGGTACCTGACTTGCTGCAGATGGCCCTACTGCACCTCGTGTGGCTGGCGTGCCAGTCAGCGCTACCGCTGCTTCTGCTGGCCGTGGTGATGCTGGGCTTGGCCATGTACTTCGATCCGGCAGTGCGCCGGGCGCGCCGCATCGCCAAGGGCTACCCTCAGTACAGCAGCAGTGTGCCCATCATCGGCCACCTGCTGCACATCGTCAAGTCCAGAGGTAAGTGTGCTCGTATGACCGTCAGTGTGAGAGGTGTGGGACCAGCTAGGAAACCCCGCCCTCCCCCCTCCATCTCATCATTCCACTAAATCTCTAATTACATATTTCACATCCTGATGACCTTGCTGCTTTTTGATACGTCTTTTCACGACCGCATCGCCAGTACTAAAGGAAGGCATACAGGGTGGGTGATCCGCGCCGTCTTTTTTTAATGCTTATACTGTACCGGATTCACGCGTGCGGGCGGGCTTGCCTACCGTCGCTCCCCATGGCGCCTTATGGCGCATGGCGCCGTGCGAGAATGCAGCCCGTCCGCACGTAAGAATCTGGTACAGTATAAGCATTAAAAAAAGACGGCGCGGATCACCCACGCTGTACCTGTCTGTTTGCAGAAGAATTGTTTCACCTCCTCCGCGAATGGCCGAAGATGTTCGGCAGCCCCTCGGTCCTGATGCTGTTCGGGAGGGTGCTGTTCAACCTTTCGGACCCCGTGTCCATTGAGGTAAGAGTCCCAGACAGCCGAGCGTTGCGCGCTAGTCGCAGTCGGCCTAGGCTAGGAGGCTAGGCACCTGGCCAGAGAAGAACGCCCGCCCCAAGGTGGAAGGCGCTGGGGTAGGCCGCCCGCCCCGAGCGCGTGTGTGGCGGGAGTGCCCACCCGTGGCCGGGCAGGGGCTGAGGTAGGCCGCCCGCCCCGAGCGCGTGTGTGGCGGGAGTGCACACCCGTGGCCTGGCAGGCGGTAGCGGCTGGAGTAGACCGCCCGCCCCGAGCGCGGGTGTGGCGGGAGTGCCCACCCGGGGCCGGGCAGGCGGCAGGGGCTGGGGTCTGAATTTACAAATGTGAGACCGACGAAGCCAACAGGCATTGAGTTGATGTCAGTTCGTTTGCAGGCGGTGCTCTCCAGCAGCAAGCACATCACCAAGGGTCGCGCTTACGACTTTCTGCGGCCGTGGCTCGGCGAAGGGCTGCTGACGAGCGGCGGGGAGAAGTGGCACTATCGGCGCAAGCTGCTCACCCCCGCCTTCCACTTCAAGATCCTGGACCAGTTCTCCTCCCACCTCGAGGAGCAAGCGGCCCAACTGGTGGACGACCTGGCCGAGCTCGCGGCGGCAGGCCAGGGCGCCGCCGTAGACGTGGTGCCTGCCGTGTCCAGGATTACGCTGCGCTCCATCTGCGGTGGGTAGGACGCCTCTCCGGCGTGAGCACTTTTGAGCCCTCCGGTGGCCCATATACAGGGTGCTCCACAGACCACCTTTCCTTTATTCTGCCTATACTGTACCGCATGCAGGCGTGCGTGCGGGTTCACCGTAGCGCCTTACGGCCCCGTGCCCTCGTGCGAGTATGCAACCCGGCCCCTAAACCCGAAACAGTATAAGCAAAATAAGGGAAGGGTTCTGTGGACCATCCTGTATATCGACGAGCCACTAAAACATCGCGGTGATGCGCGTATTGTGATTGCGCGGTAGCGTTGAACTTAAGAGCATATAAGGATATCCTCTACCCGTACCTTTACAGCGTCTCTGCTGTTCAGTGCTAATAACACGTCGTTGACCGTGAGTGTGAGGTAATGTCACTGCCATAACAATCCACCGTCATCCGCTTATCTGACAGGGACTCCCCGATTGCTGTCAAGAACCTACAGCGCGTGGTCCCTTCAATATGGCACTGAGAATACAAGAGGGAAAATAGGGATTGCTTTACTGAGGCTGCTGATGTGGACGAAGCCCTATTGACATCTGATACAACATCGTATACCTTGGGACACTCATTTGTCGTTCGCTCTAGATTTAGCAATAAAGTGAGGGAATAGGACTCAACGCGTTCAGTTGGTACAATTTTCTTACTTTGTCCAGTGACGGCGATGGGCAAAGTCGACTTCGGTACGGACTCCAGTGCAGCCGTGAGCGAGAAGTCGTACTTTGAGGCGATCCACAGGTATGGCCGTGCGTTGCACTGGGCGGTCAAACGTAATACTGCAAAAGCACGACCAAAATGCTAAAAAATCTTCGCCTTATCCGCCCCCCCCCTCCTCTGCTCGCAGAGTGGGCGAGGCTACAGCACTGCGCATTGTGCGACCCTGGCTTTGGCCGCCGCCGCTCTTCTGGCTCACACCAATGTACCAGAAGTTCCGCAAGAACCTCAACACCCTCCACGGATTCACCAGCAAGGTGAGCTCTCCCCGCTTCATTGCGACGCGATGACCATTGTGTGATTCGCGCAATTATTGTTGTTCTTGTCTCCGCCTTTTAAGGTGATTGCTGATCGCAAGATGACGCTGTCTGGCGATGCCGATGATACCGCGGTGGCGGCGGGCGAGGCAGGGGCTGAGAATTCGTCTCGTACGTCTGATACAATGATTGGCGAAACTGAGGTCTCCCCTCTCATCGCTGAGTTGGGGGCGAGGCTCGCGGAGAACGTCATGTACAATAATGTTTGACAACATTAAGATCTCCCGTTTCACCGCTCCTTCCGTGCACAGGCTTCAAGAGGAAGGCTCGCCTGCGGCCCTTCCTGGACGTGCTGCTCAACGCGCAGCGGCGCGGCGAGGACATCAGCGACCAGGACATCCGCGAGGAGGTGGACACGTTCATGTTCGAGGTGCGGCCCCGCCAACGCCGGCGTCAGATTTTAAGCACGCTCACTATCGTCCTGATCCCGTTCTCCGTCTAGGGCCACGACACCACGTCCATGGCCATCAGCTGGTCGCTGGAGCTGCTGGGCCGCCACCCCGAGGTGCAGGAGCGGGTTGTGGAGGAGCTGCGCGGCGCGGGCGGCGAGGACTGGGAGTCCATCTCCAGGCTGCCGTACCTGGACCGCGTCTTCAAGGAGTGCCTGCGCTTGCGGCCCAGCGTGCCTTTCATCTCGAGGCTGATTGAGACGGACGCCGTGCTCCCAGACGGTAGGACCATTCCCGCCCCGTCCATGACCAACATCCACATCTTCGACTTGCACCGCCACCCGGATCACTTCCCGGACCCCGACCGCTTCGACCCGGACCGCTTTTTACCCGAAGTGGAGCAGGCCAGGCACCCCTTCGCGTACCTGCCGTTCAGTGCGGGGCCTCG